ACAGATTGCAGTTCGTCAAAACAAGCATCACAGATCTTGCAGAGCCTATGTAAAAAAACGAGAGAGATGATGATATCACAGAGGGAAAATAGAAATAGTGAAGCTACAGCATGACTAAAGACAGAGGTGGGAAGTAATGGAGTACAAATACTTTGTTACTGTACTTAAGTACATTGTTCTGGTATCAGTACTTTACTCCACTACTTATTTTTCTGACATCTTTCTACTTCTTACATGTTGAACACAAATACCTGTACTTTCTACTTCTTACATGTTGAACACAAATACCTGTACTTTCTACTTCTTACATGTTGAACACAAATACCTGTACTTTCTACTTCTTACATGTTGAACCCAAATACCTGTACTTTCTACTTCTTACATGTTGAACACAAATACCTGTACTTTCTACTTCTTACATGTTGAACACAAATACCTGTACTTTCTACTTCTTACATGTTGAACACAAATACCTGTACTTTCTACTTCTCTCATTTTCCAAACAGGCTGGTTCCTTTAGTCTGAATGTGTGTTTGGTGGCGTGATCATTATTATTTAGAGTCATTGCGTGCCTATTGATTTGAACACGATCCGTGTATCCATCATTTCCTGGTCTTCTCTAAAGAAGAGGGACCAATGAAAACGTTGTCATGTTGCCGTTGTTCAGCATGGAAACATTCATTAGCTAACAATGACATTATTGTTCTATTAATATAAAGGGAGGTCAGGTACTCTTTAAAACAGCTGCTAGTTATGGGTACTTTTTACTTAATGGTGACTCATCATGCAAAATGCACTTTTGTACGTCTTTTCTACATGAACATGTGTCCCCGGTGTTCCAGGGAACTCACCAAGTGTCAGAAAACACAACCCTCTCTATTTCCCTCCATACCCAAATCTCTTAAAAAGGGGCTGCAACGGATCTGATACAGACTGATCCAGATTTGAACACTTCTATGACGTCACAGAAGTGGCGCTACGGCTATTGGGCCGACTCCACCAATCAGGAGGAGACAGCCACGGACATTGCCGTTGGAAAGCGCTGGAGACGCTGTAGTACATATGCCTGGCCTGTAGATGGTGCTGTTCTCACAGAATCAGCCCATGATGCAAAGACAGTGTTCAATTGAGCGAAATGAGGAGTGGCTAAAATGCATGATCTGTTTGGTATTTTGAAAAATAAAAAGTATAAATATGCCTTATATAGGTATGGTCCTACACTATATTATTCAAATATAGCATGATGGGTCCACTTTAAGTACATTTCAAAGCCTCTTTACATGAGTAAAGAAGTTTCGTCAGTACTTCTACTTTTACCAGAGTACTTTTAAACACGAGTATCTGCACTACAAAAGCTTGAAATCTTACCAAGTATATTAGTCTAACATCTAGTCAGAACATGTCTCTACGCTCGATGTAAGAAATAATAACTTCAAAGTAACACTTTGAGCATTTGCGGCTTATATTGTAACATAACATCTCCTGATTCTCGTGAAATATAGTTCACAAGGAGTTCTCCAGCTAATTACAAGATCTGATTTATCTAAATATCCCTTCTTATTTCAACAAATCTTACCAAGCAAATGTTCACTTGTTCTATTTGCAGATTTCTACGTATTTCAATTGAAAACGGTTTGTTTTCATTGTTGTTTAACTTGTTTTTGGAGCAGCATTGTTTCCAGTGTGTACGTCTTGAGTAAAGGATGAGTGTACTTTTGGCATCTCTGCTAAAGTAGAGGGAGAGTCTCTTCTAGTGATCAAAGAATAAGAGAGATGATGATATCACATAGGGAAAATAGAACAATACAAACAAGTATTCATACAGGGAGAGCCTAACAGCATGACTAAAAGCAGAGTCAGAGTCTCTTTTGATGACACCTAACAACCAGAAGGATGTCAATAAAAAGTGTTTCCTCCATCATATTAGGCAAGGCAGACCCACATCATCCTGTCTGGGACACGATGTTCTCATGAATAACGATTACACCGTGTCCTCACCCAGCCCGGACGTGATGTCCAGCTCATTCCTGAGAAACAATGTGTTCCTAAACATTTACTCAGCCTCTCCACTGATAGCAACAGGAACCGCAGGGCACGTCCCAGGCTGATATTTAATTTATTTTTAATGCAGAAAATTGCTTTAAATATAGGCTTTTAACATGGCTTTGACATCGAATTCAAAATCCATTGGATCCTGTTAATGCTGTTGGAGAACAGTACATACGTTATACTACGTTTAGTTTTAGTGGTACATTTGTCAGCTGAACAAATATCAATGTTGCTCCAGCTTTAAAATACTTTTTTCTCCAATGTTAATATATATATTTTTCTTTTAGACTTTTAGAGAGTAAGAAAAAGCTCAGGAAACGTTTTGAATATTTGTCAATTATTTCGAAAACTTTCAAACTTGTTCTTCAAAACATGAATCGAGAAAGGAGTTGACACACCTGTTACTCACATCCTGAATTAATGAATTGTTATGATGTGTCATATCATTGCTCAGTTCAGTTGCAATCACATCACACACACTGTAAATAAAATAATACTAAAACAAATAAACCTACATTAGACTTATGGGTTTAAAAAGAAAAGAAAGTGAAACATGTTTCACTCAAAACATAAGAGAAACCAAATTGAAAAGCTTTAGTTTTTTACAAGATTCATTGAGACCATGTTTTATTGTGTCTCGTCGTTATTTCAGCAACTTACAACATAAAGTCATTTGAATGACAAAGCCTTTATGAGGCTGTAAAACGTACTAAAAAAGGATTTGCTGTCTTTTCTGTTGAGGTGAATAAATGAACCACAGTTTGAGTGGAAAATATGGCCTCATGTGAACTTGGATTAGATTTAACACATCAGGACGGCACATCCTTACAGACTTGAGGTGTGTTAGACCCAGAGAGGGCAACAGTACACACATCCTTTACACAAGTAGAGTACAGATACTCGTGTTTAAAAATACTCTGGTAAAAGTAGAAGTACTGACTAAACTTCTTTACTCAAGTAAAAGTAAAGAGGCTTTGAAATGTACTTCAGTAAAAAGTACCTATCTGTTTTAAAGAGTACCTGACCTCCCTTTATATGAATAGAACAATAATGTCATTGTTAGCTAATGAATGTTTCCATGCTGAACAACGGCAACATGACAACGTTTTCATTGGTCCCTCTTCTTTAGAGAAGACCAGGAAATGATGGATACACGGATCGTGTTCAAATCAATAGGCACGCAATGACTCTAAATAATAATGATCACGCCACCAAACACACATTCAGACTAAAGGAACCAGCCTGTTTGGAAAATGTGAGAAGTAGAAAGTACAGGTATTTGGGTTCAACATGTAAGAAGTAGAAAGTACAGGTATTTGTGTTCAACATGTAAGAAGTAGAAAGTACAGGTATTTGTGTTCAACATGTAAGAAGTAGAAAGTACAGGTATTTGTGTTCAACATGTAAGAAGTAGAAAGTACAGGTATTTGTGTTCAACATGTAAGAAGTAGAAAGTACAGATATTTGTGTTCAACATGTAAGAAGTAGAAAGTACAGGTATTTG